ATGTGTATATATATATATATATATATATATATACATACTAGCCAACATGCATTGCATGTGCATACATGTATAAAACTCATATGGTAACAAAATCCAGTCAGTGCACCATTCCACTGTAGTTCAGTACTCAACTCCAATCCAGTGTTCACAGATTTCCAATACAGCTATAGGGTATAAATAAAGTAAATATATATATATATATTACAAGCATGTACATAACAATACATCATAGTGACCATGCATACAGTACTACTCTCAATGATAACATTGTGGCAATGATATCAGGAGCAATAACCATGTAATATGCATGAAGCCAATCCAGAAGTTGTCATTGTTTCCCGAGAGAGCATCATACACCAACTACGTATTTCATTAAATTAAACTGTTTCAAATAGAACAATATAGCTATTATACATATTTATGTCCATGATGGACATAAAAAAACTAAAGAAACAAGATCATTAGAAAAAATAATTTAAAAACGGTGAATAGGGATTTTGAAAAAATAAAGAAACAATGTAGGTAGCTTAAGGTGAAAATGCAATCGTCAAACTAGTAAGCAGAGACGCTTAAGGTTTGAGATATAGTATTGTTACGACAGCGGAAGTCATGTGAAGCTAGTAACACGTCATGAGCTTCTAGAAAATTCATGTCCGTTCGTGAAGCCTCGAGTGATCTCCAGATGTACGTTTTTGTATATAAGACCGGTAAAAAGTGACGGCAACAATGGAATTGAATTGCAAACAGGGATAGAGACGGACAATTGAGGCAAGCACGTGAATCGTTCGTTGTGAATTATATAACTGACTGTGGGAATTAAGTGTATTGCAAAGTTGTATTGAGAAGGAATAAACTAGTTTTATTTAAGGAAGGACTTGTATCGCTGAAGTTCTCTTCAGAAGGAATTAAAAAAATTAACAAACGGACTAGAGACTAACAGTACTGACATTATTTCCTCAAGCTACAAAGCCCTATTTTGACTCCATGTCTAAGAGCTGTAATATTTAGAAGAGCCAAAATAGGGATTTGTAGCTTGAGGAATTAATGTCATCACTATATCTCAAACCTTGAGCTTGTTTGATTACTTTTTTTTGGTAATTGCACTTTCATTTTAAGCTACCTATCTTGTTTCTGTATTTTATGGAAATCCCTATTACCCCCTTTCTAAATTAACAATTTTTAATAATCTTGTATGAAATATAGAACCACTGAAGACAATGTAGTAAATGAAATTTCAAAACGTAGTTAGCACATCTGTTGCACTTCTGATTGGCTGCCTCAGTAGGTCAGGTGACGTCATAATTCCGCAAAGCGACGCCAATGACCGTATTAGTAGGGGTGCATTGCTAAAGGCCCCCAATGGCACAGCGGCATGTCTGCGGACTTACAACGCTAGAAACCGGGTTTCGATTACCGTGGTGGGCAAAGCACAAATAGCCCATTGTGTAGCTTTGTGCTTAACTTCAAACAAACAAACAAGCATTGCTAGAGGCGATAGATCATGACGTCATAGTTCTAAGTTGTGTCATCAGAGGGCGTGTTGCTAGGGTCAGAAAATTCCAAAGTGTGGGAAAATGAGGTTACCGAACGAACCACCAGACGGTGTTGTAGATCAACAGATGTCAACGTGTTTCAAAATATGATTACGTCAACAACTTTATATTTTTGTGTTAAGTATTTAGAACGTTCAGTTATACTTATGTATCAAATATATTGCACTGTAAAATAACAAAGTATTATGAATTTTAAAGGTATGGTACGTCCAAAATTATATATATATTTGTACTTCAAATTGAATGTCCTTCAGCAAATGATAGTGACTAAAATGGTAACTATACTATTTAATTTATTATATTAGAAAATCTGAAAACTTACTAAAGTGACTGGAATTTTGCATAGATTGATAATATAAAAATATATGTAATCAGTAAGATCAAACTTTAAAATCAACAAAACATGTGTTATATACGTTATATACGTAGAGTCTGAATAATTTACTCATAAAACAATACGAAACAGTCATTTTCATGACTATGTAAGATAAAGTTGTACAATTATAGAAAGTGTATTATGCATGAGATGAAATATTAATTTTAATTATCCTTGTTCAGATGAAAACTATAAAGTTGACCATAATGATAAAACTAATGATAAGAGCTAAAGAGATTGAAATAGTAATTTTTGTTTTCGTAATGTAATATGAACGATATATATCTAAAGTTTGAATATTTTATTTAAAAGACCATAAGAAATGGATTCTTTTAAGCTTACATAAATCTATTAGTATAAGAATGTAAATAAAACGTAAAGTTAAACTTTATATTTAGCAAAACATGTGTAGAGTTTGCATAATTTACTTATAAAACAATATGAAATAGTCCTTTTCAGGACTACTTAAGATACACTAATATAATTGTAAGAAAGTAAGTTAGCAAATTAGATGAAATATATATTTCTATAAAAATTAAAATTAATGACATTATTATATGTTGAGACACGTTGATATCTATTAATCTAGATCACCTTATCCTCGTACACTTTGAAGCTTTTTGACCCTAGCAACACGCTCTCTAGTGACGCAATGTGAGAGTATGACGTCACGAACTATCCGCCCTAGCAACAATAACAATATAATCCAAACTCCAGTCAACTTGAGGAAAAGGAAAACGTTTTATTTCTTAACCGGAAAGTTTTATACATGTACGGTTTCAGTAGTTAACGAAAACCAAACGATAGGCTTAATTCAAGAATGAAACTCAAAGTTACTTATTAAATTTCCCCTAATATCTACGGAACTAAGTCAAAAATGTACAATATTGAGCTGGCTTACTAACTAGTTAACTGACTCAATGACTAACTATCTCACTGTCTTATTAACTCATTATTGACTAGATAACTCATTGATGTTTTTATTCAGTATTTTGTTTTTGCGTAAATCTCTAGAACATTCAAGACATCACAGGGCGCCAACTCGAAGGGGGGCAACAATTGCCCGATTGGCTGAACAAAGTGAAAGATAAACTGAATGTACGTACGATATAGATATATTTCAACATTATACTTTATAATAGTTACAATATTTTATATAATATATTGTAACTATTTAGAATAATAAGAGTACGCCGAATTTATATGTTGCACAGAGCGCCATCATACATCGGTAGGGACCTGTTTCGAAACCTGTTATGGACACAACACAGATAGTCCATTGTGTGTGGCTTTGTGATTAACAAAAACAAAAAAACAAATTCAAAGCCTCAATATTTTTACAATGTCAAACATTTCCGCCATAATAATGTTTATGAACACATTACTGTACATGGGAGTTAAACATCTATTATTTCTAGATAATCTTTGCAAATGAAAAATAACTTATTTGACTAAGTATATTACGTTTTGTAATGTTACTTTACCCTAAATGATACCTTATGTTGTTTTATTTCACTCTCTATTACAATTAAATAAAAATATTTCCACGAGTCGTTAAGACACGGAAATGTTATCATTATAAAATTTACAAAGAATAATATTTGTATCTGTAACTGTAAAATCATGCGTGAGCTACAATTTTTCTTTATTTTAAATTTTGATTCCTTTTACTCAACAATAAGTTGTTTGATATGGACGAAATGCAAAAAAAAAGTGAAATGTTGCAGAAGTGAAAATGTAATTATCTTTCCTATCCAAACACTATACCCTTTTGTTTATTAGTTGTTGATAAGATTGTTTTTAGTGCATTTTTAAGACATTATAACTTGATTTAAATGCGAACACTCACTTTCAAAGGCCCATGTTTTAAGTTCTTTCAAGTCTTCAAGTAATAGATGAACATCATTGGTGCATTTTGTTGTAACATTTTCTTCTTGGAGAACAGTCTGAACAAATGGTTGATAAAGACTCACCCACTTATACATCCAATCCTGAAGCCTCTTTTCAAAATCTTTCCATTGCTGAATAACACCTGATGTCATTTTAGGATCATATTTGGTTTCTTTTCGGTTTTGAGTGGATAGACTAGTAGTTTCGAATATAGTACACACTAAGAAAATAACCACTAAAGATTTTACAGACATCCACACCACCATCTTCCCTCTATGTGATGTATGACAGTGAATGTTTGTTTTATACCAATTTAATCTGAAATGCAACTTATTTATACCTTGCACTATTTTCAGTTGTGCCATATATATATATATATATATATATATAAAGCAGCAGTGTCCTAGAAAATGCATCCTTCTTTTGTCGTTAAAGTAAAATGCGCTGTGTGGTCATGTAAAAAAAATGACCTAAAAATACTTAAACTTTCGATCTGGAACGATATTTGTTCCCAGTTGGTAAGTCGGTTTATGTTTCGTTACTAAAATTTCTAAAACCAGGAAAAGTGTTCCAATATCGACATTACGAACTCCAATAAACTTTAATGCAATGATTACAGAGAACAGTTTAATACTATAAATTAATTCCTTGGTCTCTTCATTTCTAACTGTTTTAAAAGCGTGACAGTGATTAAAGTAACTTGTATATTTCTGCACGAAGTAACATTTCTTATTCTATTCCTGTTTAACTTTGTGGATAATTTCATGTACCTAATCTAAAGATATATTTAATCATAGTTAGGTGACATTTTCCATATAATAATATTAATTCAGTTTAAGTATTATTACTCATTAAATATCGAATCTATAATGTAGGAAGGTACTTGCAAAGTTTACAATAAATTTATATTATTAGAGTGAAGCAAAGTATGGCTAAGTTGGTAGCGTGATGGACTGCGAATCTAGGGTCAATGGTTCATTCTAAGAGTGATGGTCAAATCCCACTATTCGGTTAGACAAGAATAGCCCAAGAGGTGGCGATGGTTAATGTTGACTAGCTGCCTTCCACCTAGTCTATAAGTTCAAAATTAGGGAAGGCTATGTGTAGATAACCCTTGTGTGCCTTTGCACGAATATCCAAAACAAAGTTATTAGAGTAAACTTAATCCCCATATTAAGTTTTGAATCGCTTGTTCTTTGTGTTACTGTGCTGTTATAAGTTATATATATATATATAGATATATTTTTAAATATATTAGTCTCAAAATGATTATTACATTTACTTCCGCTTTTAACTTATAATTTGAATGAAACATGATTTTATTGGGCATTTTGTTTTATCAAAAAACACATTTAACAATTTATTAAAGAAAAATATAATAGTGGCATAACTGCTTAACTTGGTGTAAACAATTTATTTTACATTTTTTGAAGAAGTATGAAAATCGGCTATCCTCTTTTAAAAATAAATACGAATAATGCGTAGGTAATTCTCAACTTTCATATTAGATTTAAGTCTGTAAAGTAATTTGTCACACTTCAAGATATATTCATGTTTCCTCTTCAGTGGCTACCACAACTATGAGCTTTAATAACATACCAAAGCGAGATGTTTTTTATAGAGGGACGTGTATTAAGTAGAAACAATTAAAACCTTTGGTTTAGATCGGCAGTTTTTTGTTCACCAGTGTCAGAGGGTTACTGTCCTTACTAGTTCATATCTTATTTATATATATATTCATAAACAAATCTTAGTATCTACAGTGTAAATCAAGGCAAATTTATGTCTAAAAGTTGTCATTTATTAAACCTAAAATTTACGAAACATGCAATTGTTAATGGGTAATATTGGTATGAAATCTTGTTTTATTTTCTACAAAATAAATTACTCTGACATTATAAATTTACGATAACCTAGGCATCAATGAAAACCTTATTTCGTTGTTGTCAGAAAGCGATTAATTTACACTTGAAAACAATTTTTATTTTTCATGAATTAAAACATAATATATTTATAAGTGCGGGAATTGTCATTACTATAAACACATTCATTATAGAAGGATACAACGACAACAAATAATTGTTAAAAAATGTTAAAGAAAAAAATAAAGCATTAATCGACTTCCATGAATTACTGTTCATCTACTCTTTAAGGTAATGCTGTTTGATGCTATTATTTCATATTTCTCACACATAAAGACGCAACCACAACTCTAGAATTGAAATTACTTCGATCTAACAATTGGCTGACACTAATGTAGATAGAAAATACATATCATCATACATTTCGTAAGTAAATTTGCAGTGGTTTTCTGAGGATGAATCTCTACCTAACAGGTTCTGTTCCCGAGGAAAGGACATAATGGATAAAAAATCTCCTTGTACCTGACAGTATTCAAGGTGTTTCACCATACCTAACAGGTACTGTTCCTGAGGAAAGGACATAGTGGATAAGAATCTCCTTGTACCTGACAGTATTCAAGGTGTTTCACCCTACCTAACAGGTATTGTTCCTGAGGAAAGGACATAGTGGATAAGAATCTCCTTGCACCTGACAGTACTCAAGGTGTTTCACTCTACCTAACAGGTATTGTTCCTGAGGAAAGGACATAGTGGATAAGAATCTCCTTGTACCTGATAGTACTCAAGGTGTTTCACCCTACCTAACAGGTATTGTTCCTGAGGAAAGGACATAGTGGATAAGAATCTCCTTGTACCTGACACTATTCAAGATGTCTCACCCTACCTAACTAGTCCTGTTCCTGAGGAAAGAATATGATGGATAAGAATCTGCTTGTACCTGACAGTACTCAAGGTGTCTCATCAGTTTTTGTTAGAACAGCATTGGCTAAGATACTACCCACAGTTCTATTTGTACCCAATATGTTACAGTGCAGATGTTCATTGATCATATTACTGTTTTTCTCTCTGCCACCGAATAAATTATAGTTGGTTGTTGTCAAAAAGCTACTATTAGTATTAAAGCTACTAAAGCTTGAAATCATGTTTAATTTTATCGCCTGGAGTATATACGAAATTTAAATCCTGGGAGCTATGAATATGTTACCATACTACTAATGGGAATAGTATGACTGCCGACTATGACTAGAAGACACAAATCATGTTTTAAAGCGAACTCGAGGTTCATGTTAATTTTTGTGACTGCCAATCATGAAATCTTAATATTTTGCTAAACTAAGCAAGTCAATAGTTCATAATGTGATTTTTAGCTACAGTGTCAATATCCAATTATATCCTTCATTTTGAAATGTTATCATCTTTCTATATGCCCTTTTTGATTATTTGATGTAAAAGCTTGTGTAAAAACCTTACACTGAAAAACAAGCAAATTTAATATTTTGTATTTCATACAATATGTAAATTAGTCAGATGATACATTTAAAATACGTTAAAAATATACATCAGTAATATAAATAATAATAAAGAGAAATGAATACGTTATATAAAAATGACTTGGTATATGCAAATCAGCAAGTCATGTTACAACCACAGCCGATATAAAGCTTATGGAATTTTATGTGATCAGATTGTTGAAACGGGTGGAAGGGAAATTGTTATCTTCGTATGATTGATGGATTGTGGAAAGCGGAATGGATGAATAATGTCCTTTGGGCATGACAATCTTACGTCGGAGCCTTTTGCAATAAAAAGCACGCTTTAGGACTATTGTCAATATGCACAGCCCTCATACAGAAAATGATTGAACGTGGCGACGTGGACTGTAATGACGCTCCACAATCGTTTTAACATAACATTTTAATTCTCTGTATTTCAAGAAATTTATAATTACATTGGTATCTTTGCCGCTATTAAATCAGGAAATTCTTCACATTGTTTTAGTATCTGATTTTTCAATATACAAAATATAGTTGCTTTCAGTTTTATGGATTATGAAAAACAATTCCCAACTTCAAAACTAGAATTCATATTATTACTTTTACCATGTTCGTTCAAACTATGTTGGGGTTTACTGAGCCATACCTAAACACTTATTATGTACAGTGAATAGACTGTAATCAAATAGACAGAGGCATATATTCCGTTGGTGTCTCTACTGTACGTCTGAAAGCTTACAAGTCTAAAAAAGATCGGATTTCAATATCTGCGATAGCCATAGCACATGTAGTTCATTATGTAGCTTTGTGCTGAAAAATTAACAAAAAACAAACATATTAATCATTCTGCTTATTTGTGTTTCTTATTAGAACCATCTTTGACCATAATGGCACGTATATCTTTTTTGGCTCAGAATGCTATAGACTGATTTATATATAATTATTAAATTTAACTTGTGGGTATAAGTATACATACATATATTTGTATCTATCGTTTTCATTTAGATAACCAGCAAATTAATCGAAAGTATTAATGATAAATATAACAATATCCAAAGATTTATTTTATTTTAAATCAAAAAACACACCCAGCTCTAGTTGTTTAGCCAATAAAGACAACTTTCACTCCGACCATCTAGTGTAACTCTCAATTGCAGGAATGAAATTAATTTCAATTTAATTTGGTATGGTTATTTCAGTACATGGAAAAAAAATGTTAAAGTAATGGTTCACTAATGACATCAAACCAGTTCAAAATTTTACAATTAAGGAAGTTTCTTGTGTGCATTGAGGCGAATCGCACTCTGCTTGTTGCCCAATCCAATTATTCTACAGCTTTATCCTCGATTAAAAATGTTCTCAGTCCAGCCATTTTCGTTGTTATCGTTTTATCTTAGATCAGTTCAGATAAAATTTAGTTTAGAAAATGTTCTTACTCCACTAGGAACGGTAATGAGTAAAGTTAATAACATTATTAGTGCGACTGTAAAGTTTGAAATGATGGCGATAATGTGTTTTGGTCATACATCCCAGTACATTTTTCAAAGTTGCTTTAGTTACTTTCTATGAGGATGTCTGCAATTCGTCATATCATTATGTGGCACAGACATCAGTCGCTTCGCCATCTGAAAAGTAAATATGTGGATCCACGCCATGTTTCAATAAGTCTCTCGAGCTTATTTGCAACAAGTCAGAAATGAAGCTTAGGAAACTAAATAATGAGCTGTAATCCTGTAGCTACTGAAACCTCTCTTCCACGTGTTGACGATTTTGTTAAAGATATTAACCTTCAAATGT